AAAGTCAACTAACGTGATTAAAGATGGTAACAATTAGTGGAGAATACTGAATTGTATGTAGCCTTGCTTTCCCTCTTTGAAATGGGAAGATTATGTATTTTTGGACAACGCCCCAAGTTCAAGTGTATATCTATGATTACTTCTTCAACTATTGTACATTGCTATGTCCGAGGAGAGGAGGACATTTTGCCTCCTTCTTGGTGACATAACCAGGGGAATTAGTGGGTTTGCATTTCTTAATTAGAAAACAAGTACCTCACCAAAATTCAACTTGGGAAGTTTGAGCTTTGCCCTTTGTCCATTCTTAGAAATGCTAATTTATAATCTTAGAAGTGTCGCATAAGAAATTTTAATATTTTATCTTCCAATGACGAAAGTTTGATTTTTTTTTTTTTTCAGTTCTTTCAGAATGCTTCTCCTTCTGCCTTTACAATAAAATGATTTTAATATGGGTGTCTGACCTTTGAGATTAAGATAATAATGAACTGAAGTTTGACCAGCTAGTTTTGCTTCATCTGATTCTGAATAACAACTTAGCTTATTGGGAAAGTAGATCCACAGCTGTTTTCTAACAATGCTTTTTAGTGGTACTTTTTGGGTTGAATCCCCCATGCATCATTATGCTTAAGAACCTGCTCTCAAGGGAGGAGAAAACTCGGAAAAGAGGTGAGAGAACCATATTCTGAATTAAGTAAATAGATAGTGTTATGCTTTGGCTGTACCTCTACTCTTTGTTCTCCATAATCCATAATGTTATATCAACACAAAAGAGGGGAAAATGGGGTATTCTGCAGTTTGGGTGTGTTTTCTAAGACTAATTGGTATGATCTTTACCCATGCAGGTTGTGAAAATTAGACTGCAGCAGCAGAAAGGACTGAGTCCAAATCTTCTTAAGTACAAAGGTCCTATACATTGTGCTCAAATGATCATTCGTGAAGAAGGCCTCCTTGGGCTCTGGGCAGGGGCTGCTCCAACTGTTATGCGAAATGGGACAAACCAAGCTGCAATGTTTACAGCCAAGAATGCTTTTGATGTACTCTTGTGGAAGAAACATGAGGGTGACGGGAAAGTCCTTCAACCATGGCAGTCAATGATATCAGGATTCCTTGCTGGAACAGCCGGTCCAGTTTGTACGGGGCCCTTCGATGTTGTCAAAACTAGATTGATGGCTCAAAGTCGACATGGAGGTGAATTAAAGTATAAAGGCATGATCCATGCTATCAGAACAATATATGCTGAGGAAGGGCTTCGTGCCTTGTGGAAAGGACTTCTGCCTCGGCTCATGAGGATCCCACCAGGGCAAGCAATTATGTGGGCTGTGGCTGACCAAGTAATTGGTCTTTATGAGAGAAAATATCTTCACAATGCACCTTTGTAGGTCCCATTTGCATTTTTTTGCTCATTCCGAGCATAGAATAAACTTAAATATTTTCTTCTTCAGATGTTTTAGATGACAATTACTTATAGAAAATAAGGGAACAATCTTCTGGTAGTTTTTCAAAATTTCCCCTTGTTTGGATGCTGCTCCACCCCATTTTTCAAAAGTGACAAGCTGGAGTGACTATCGAGTCAATACTTAACAGTTCAAGTTGGGCTAGTCATCTTTTGGGGGCCGAGGGAAACTTATTTTCTAAGGAGCTGTGGTGGGTAGATCCAGAGTAATGGCAGGATCTATGTGTTTCATTGTGGTCTGAGTCTTTGTAGGTTTTTGTAACTTCAGCAAAGATTTCACCATGGCAGAAACTTCATTTGATATATTCTTCAGCCGTTGGCGCATTGTTCTTATTTGGTGTTGAATTTTGGATTACAAAATTGGCAATCTTGCGTCGTGGTATGTTTACGAAGAAAATGGGGTAATCATGTAACATTGCTGATCGATTTGACGATTGCGGATGCTTACACTTTTACATTGCCAACTTCCCCTTTTTTCTTTTTTTTTGAGAAGTGTAATTTTTTCAGGAAAGGGAGAAGAGAGATTTGGGATTTGATTCTAATTTCTCTAATTTTAAGCACGTCCCGTAATGAGATGACTATTGAGCCACCAAACTTTGGACACATTATTGAGCCACCAAGTACTGAACACATTGCCCACTTGCCCTTTATTCAGTAGAAGTCAATTTATTTTCATTTCACGTTGTTGGTTGAGGCAATCTATGGTTTTTTTCTTTTTTCTTTTTTTTTTCTTATATGCAATGATGGGTACTCAAGTAAATCAACTACTCATCCTCTTTTATTTATTTAAATTCCACTTAATTCGTCTCAAGGTTTAAACTTCATTCGTTCAGCTTAGTCAAGTGGTACATACACTGGAATTGCATGTTTATTCATAAGAAATTTACAATGGTCAAGTCAAGAGCTGAGGAATCTTAACAAAAAAAAAAGAAAAAAAAGAAAAAAAAGGACAGTTAAGGACTTAAAATGATCTGTAGCAATAGTTGGAGGACTTTAAAGACATTTTACTCAAAAGACAAGAACAAAGTAAAAATAAGAAGGATGCAGATTAAAATTTTGTATTCTATATCAAAACCCTACCAGGAAGACTGCACTATATAAAGCCAAACAAACGCTGCCTTCAGAACCGAAACCCTAGCTTTTTACAGAGCCACCTGCTTTTTCTCCAGTACATTCGTTCATCTTTCATTTCTAATAAACCCTAGCTCCCAGCCGACGAGAGCACTCTGTCGCCGTTGATTTACACTTGTCAGTTCTCTATTTCAATAGAAATTCATCTTCTTTATCCCTTTTGTAATGGAACTGATTCGGATATCGATTTTCTGGTTTCTCAGGAGTTTTAGGTTCATCAAAGCTGTGGAGGGATGTCTGACGACGAACGAGAAGAGAAAGAGTTGGATCTCACCTCTCCTGAAGTCGTCACCAAGTATAAGAGCGCCGCCGAGATCGTTAATAGTTAATCTCCTTCCTTATCTCTCGTAATATATGAATATGTGTTTGTCTTTATTTGGGTTGAATTCTTAAAAACTGTTTTTAGCTGAAAATTTTCTTTTGTCATCAATTTCTCTTACTTTGATGTTCCTGTTGTGACGTTAGTTGAAATTTTGCAGAGGCGTTGCAGCTAGTTATAAAGGAATGCAAGCCCAAAGCTAAGATTGTTGACATTTGTGAAATGGGTGATGCATTTATTAGAGAGTAAGCCCTTTTCATAGCATCTTCTTTAATTTGATATGGTAGATGCATTTTGTTTTTATTTGCTTATTTGCTATATCTTTTTATGGGTAATGAAGGCAAACTGGCAACGTGTACAAGAATGTTAAGCGGAAGATTGAAAGGGGTGTTGCTTTTCCCACTTGCATATCTGTTAACAATACTGTCTGCCATGTCTCCCCGCTTGCCAGTGATGAGACTGTGATGGAAGAAGGTGATATATTGAAAATGTAAGGTTCCTTGTGAATCTTATGTGGTTTAGCTTGATATCTTATGGACTTGGTCTGCTGTGAACTTATGAATACTAAACAAAAGTGGGAATTTTTATTGGTGCAGTGATTTGGGGTGTCACATTGATGGTTTTATTGCTGTGGTTGCGCATACCCATGTTCTTCAGAATGGGCCTCTTACAGGGAGGAAAGCTGATGTTATTGCTGCAGCAAATACTGCTGCTGAAGTTGCCTTGAGGCTTGTAAGGCCTGGGAAGAAGGTACTTTTTCTATATAATTGAACTTACCAACAGTACAATTTACCTGAATATAAACTTTACTTAGTGATCTAGTCACTAGTGTACAATCATCTTTGATTGTGTGCTTTTCATGTCTGTTACTTTGTGTGTCCTAGTGTTTTGCCTATACATTGATGGAAAGAGGCAACTTTGCCGAGGAGATCAATTACTTGTTGATTTCCTCTTTTCCCTGTTGCCAATAGTGAATTTGGCCTATGCTAGGCTGCTTTCTTGGAGATATCATTTGGTTGTTTCCAACTGCCTAAATTGCCAACATCTTTTTAGTCTCACTATTCACAATTTAGAAGTGAACTCCTCTCTTTGGATAATTTACACTAGTTTTTGAAGTGCCTCAAGGTTCTTACTTTCCCTATATGACGAATATTCACCAAAAGCTATGGACCAACATCCAAATGAGGCTTTTGTCATAGTTACTCTGATAGGGAAACTTGTTTATTTTTTTTCCTCGTTTAGACATTGATGATAGCTCTTATTTGATGCTGAAATGAATTTACACAAGTTTTTGAAGTGTCTCAAGGTTCTTACTTTCCCTATATGACGAATATTCACCAAAAGCTATGGACCAACATCCAAATGAGGCTTTTGTCATAGTTACTCTGACAGGGCAACTTGTTTGAATTTTTGTTTCTCTTTTAGAGATTGCTGAATGTGAATGCTGTCCTGCTCTTGACTCTATTTCCTTCTCTAGTTTCTGCGGATATGTGCTAGTCTTGATTTTGCTCCCTTTTTGTTTCAACCATTTTGTTAATTACATCTCCTTTTTTGTTAGAACAAAGATGTCACCGAAGCAATTCAGAAAGTGGCTGCTGCTTATGACTGCAAAATTGTTGAAGGTGTTCTTAGCCACCAACTGAAGCAGTTCGTGATTGATGGAAACAAGGTCATATTGAGTGTTGCCGGTCCAGAAACAAGAGTTGATGATGCAGAATTTGAGGAAAATGAAGTTTATGCAATAGATATTGTCACAAGCACAGGTGACGGCAAGGTAATTGTTTGGTTTGTTATACCATGTTGCCATTGTTGCAGTTTGTTTAATGAATGCCTGACGTGAAGATTGATTTTCAATATGCAGCCCAAGCTATTAGATGAGAAGCAAACAACTATTTATAAGAGAGCTGTTGACAGGAATTATCACTTAAAGATGAAGACCTCTAGATTTATTTTTAGTGAAATAAATCAGAAATTTCCCATCATGCCTTTCACTGCAAGGTAAGTTGTTTTTCACACATCTTGTAAAATCACAGTTTGTTATGTTGCTGTCTAATAAATCATCTTTGTGACAGGGCTTTGGAAGAGAAAAGGGCTCGTCTAGGATTAGTTGAATGTGTAAATCATGAACTCTTGCAGCCATATCCTGTCCTTCATGAGAAGCCTGGTAAGTATTAGCAGCATGATCTTTACTGGTAACGATGAGAGATTTTGCCTGCCTGTGCTTTATCTTGATACTGAGTTGACTCATTTTCTTTTGTAATTTTTCAGGTGACTTCGTTGCTCATGTAAAATTCACTGTATTGCTAATGCCAAATGGATCAGATCGGATCACATCACACCCTCTGCAGGAGCTGCAGCCAACCAAGACAATAGATGATCCAGAAATCAAAGCTTGGTTAGCTTTGGGTACGAAGACAAAGAAGAAAGGTGGCGGGAAGAAAAAGAAAGGTAAACTTGATTAAAATCAAGCTTGTAGGGAAGGAAAAAAAAAAAAATCCGTTTTGGTAGTTTAAATTCAAGCCTTCATTTCATTCTCTGATTTTCACCATGATAACAACCCCCCAAAATCTGTATACTTTTTGCAGCTAAGAAGGGTGATAAACCTGACGAAGCAGCAGAAGCTGAGCCCATGGATGCAACCACAAATGATGCTGATGATGAATCTTAAGAAATGATTCTCTAATATGTTTCTTCTCAGTTTCAATTTTGCTACTTCAATCCCCCTGTATCTGGTTGGCTGAGTTAAAATTTAATTCAGATTCTGACATTAATCCCAACATTGTAACTCTCTTATATGGGCTTTTATGAACTACGGAGTCTCTACAAGCTAAAAATTAATAACCTATTGGATGGTATATTGAATGTTGGATGGTTCTACTGAGTTTTAATTGGAGCTCCCTAGAGATCCTCTTTCGTACTCTCTGGTAAAATTTAATTTAGGATTTTCCTTTTATGGAACTGGTTAGTCTTATTAGAATAGAGTTCAGTCGATTGTTTCAAGGTTTTATTTAAAGGAAAAAGAGAAAGGGCCCCTTTTTAGGACAATTTTTATTTATAATTTAATATATATCTTATTAAATGAATAAATATAACTTAATAGAATAAAAAAAAAGTTATAGACT